GTGGATGTCCTCCCCTGGGGTGGGATGGGTGGGTGTTGCTCGGCATATTAGCATGTATTGCTAGGGGCCTGAGTGTAGTGTATAGGATGCCAACGAGCATGTAATATACGCGATGTAATGTGATGCGTGATGGTGTGAAGTAATACCCTCGAGACCTGCATATAGATACAGCGTGTGTTTAATTATTTAGTTAGTTCTCTTGTGAATACGTGAATACGTGCCACGTGGTACGTGCTAGTGAATAATTTAACAAATCTTACGTGACCAGAAAAAACAAGCGCGCGCGGAAAAATAGTCTTTGCATTTGCTCACGTCAGCAGCGTACACCCATGGGCAAATGGGGGACGCTAAATTGACCCATCAGAGCGCACGCTTTACTTTGGTTATGTTATAACTCTCGATAGAATTAATAACGACAGTCACTGTGAAAATCAAATGTTACCTTTCCTCGTGGAATATTCTCCAGAGTACAATTGTTGGTACATTTAACTGGAAACTTTCGACAAACGCTATGATGATGCTGTAGAAAATCGTAGAGAAGTCTACAGATTAAGTACATTCAAAATTCGTACTATCATATTAAAATATGATCAACACAGACATGCCATACTAACGAAATTGGTGGAGTAAAATACTTACACTTTTATCAGTAAGGAATCGAAGTTTAAGAACCACACATTTACGCTCAGCCGTTGTAAGATGTCGGCTGTATCACAACATTCTCTTGACTGAGAAAAAAAAAAGTCACGAGCTCTTCAAAACCTTGACTTGATAAAAATTGGAAGTCGTCACCACTTTTCCAAGTTTGGATAAAAAGCAAACGTTTGGGAATTTGCTCTTCTAGAAGTTATATAAAGAATAGATTTACGTTTACTTAACTAACCTGCCTGTTTTTTACGATATAGGATCCTTGACAATATTCACAACTGTCAGTCCTCCAGATACATTCCCTTTTCTTGTGATTGTTCATATCTCGCCTGGTGAGCTTCTCTTTACATCCTGTATTTGGACACTCCACCATTTTGAACAGGCATTGCTCCTGATGTTTCTTAAATCAAAATATGTCGATGATAAACTGCAACTCAAACATGAACCAATCTGCCACGACACATGACATAAAACAGGCTAAAAGAGATTGGGAGGACTATACTGAGAGTGAAACAATCGGTCAACTGATGGTTGAGCGACAATTTTAGGATCGAGAGAAGAAATGTGAAATTCACGCGTGACTTGTTGATAATAATGGTATGTCTAAAATTAGTTATAGAAACTAAATAAACGCCTATCAAATTCAGAAAGCACCTCTAAAAGGCGATCAAACGAGAAGAAACTGTGTCCTCCTGTCTCAAACTGCCAACCATGACACCACAGATTGCAAATACTAAAACAACACCGCTGTCCAGTTCAGACAGTCATTATTGTAAAAGAAACTGCGATTAAGAGTAGTAGGAATAAGTTCAACGCTTGCTTATTATTTATGACAAAAACTGACATATTTGAGAGATTTGTGAAAATTTGTGATTGACTATAGATGATGCGATGGAGAGCAACCTAACTATGGATATGACATAGACATTAATACCTGCACAGCACGAAGTTCTCCCGTCCAAGGACAGCCGACGTGAGGACATTTAACAGTAAGATCCAGAATTTTACGATGACAAGCGGAATCTGGAAATATCTGTCAACACAAACAGACATTATAGATATCCAAGGTCAATACAATTAATATAGTATTAGGTAAGGTCGATCGGAACAACGCGAGATCTTGAGCGGGAAAATAGAAAGAGAAAGAAATGCCCTAAGTCTTGGCTAGAAGTAATAAAATGAACTAGCAGTATTTAAATGAACTGGCAATAGTGCAATAAAATTAAAGTGCAGTAATAAAAGGTGAGGTTTGATAAGCTATCGGCGATCCACGAATTCTCCGGCCCCTAAGAAGAATTCCAGAGCTAAAATTATATGGCTGGTGCATAATTTCTTAGTCAGACGTGAGGTCCATGAGCAGTATACTCTCCTCGTAATGAACGCTATTCTCTTTTTATGGAATCCTGATTAATTACAGTAAGTGGAACATCGACTTATTAGTTAGCGTGACCAGCAACTAACAAACCAAGCGCTCTTATTACCTTCTCACGCGACAGGGGTTCTCTGTCAATTGGACATTTCGGAGAATGGCTCCTGAGGTAAGGGAAAATGCAAAAACAAACAAGAGTCAAAAGCAAACACTTAAAAAATCTTCTTCCCCTGTTTTATGAGATTTTATTTCTCAGCTTCTGTTTGTCGCTGAGCCATATTCACTGTTGCGCGATGAACCATGTGGTAAATTTGCATATGAAAATACAAATCCTTTTCAGGCGATTCAGCGTAACCGAAGCAAAATAGAATGACCATACTTTTAGAAAGGTTTGTCCGATGTAGTAGTGCTTCTACATTTGAGGACTAAATGATAACACATCTACCAATTATTAGATAAAATGTATCATAGTTCTCGGTCGCTAATCGGTTTGTTTTGCTGTCCGCCCGATAAAGCTAACCAACAAATAAATACAGCCAAAGAAAAGTTAAGTACCCCTTGGAAAGTCGTTCAGTCGGTCAAGTCGTTATTCAGCTTTGAACTGAAACAAAGCTTTGGTTTAAATTGATCGTTCTATAACTTGTTACAGCATTCAATAACCCACTCATACCTTAGCAAGCTCTCTGAGCAGATCTTACAAAGTCTGTGGCCACATCCTACAATTTGTATGGGATCTTTCATGGTTGACTGACATATAGAACATTCAAATTCGTCAGGTACTTTACTTGTAAACTCGAAATCATAGCCACCAAGTTCTGGAACATTCTGGCCAACCGCCATCGTGATTAGAGTTTCAGAACGAAGGCGGAAGAGATAATCAGTCGCGTGACGACTAGAGAAACAAACCTAGTTCCCAGACTCTCTGGGACTACTAATAAGCTTTTGATAATCAGTGTTTGTGAGGCAAAACACGCATTGACAAATCAGTGGACAACAACAGAGGCGGGGGATGGAAAAGCGCTGGATAAAAATCAGTTTGCTCTGTCGCGTTCCCGATGCCGCAGACACGTGGTGTTGTGCACCGGAGTTCGCGAGTTTAACAACAGTGATGAACTTTAGACAAGTAACAGCATCAAACTCTTTATTCGCTTAAGCCGGTAGTCTCCGTACAGCACAGGCGGTAAAAACTATAGAACGGGTATCTGAAAGTTTGATATAAGGAAAACGGAAAGGCTGCGAATGAATGAATAGGGCGAAACTAGAAAAGATAAAAACTGAATGAGGAATATTGCAAGCGTAACTAAGTTACTTACATCGGATCTTGACTCCGGGGTAGAGAACTCCTAAATTTCTAGCGCCAGCTAAAAACTCCTAACCTCCTTTTGGCTCCGAAATAGTTTCGCTACAACGACTCCTCCCAACTAAACTACGTGCTAATATAGAAGGCAAATTTATTTTTTACACTTTGATGTAGGGGAAATAGAAATTAACAATGCTTTTGTATAGCTAGCTTTGAGCGGACATTCGCTAGTCATGGAATAGAAATCAAACAAAGCGCTAACAAATTTAATAAACAGTCATTGAAAGTTTCTTAGTATCTTTGTGCTAAAGAACGGAAGAGTAACGTAAATAAGAGATTAGAGTTCATATCCGAGAGCCTGTGATCCTTGTTCTATTAATTAATTGCTTTTCCTTTAATTCTCTGCCGTGGTCGTCGGGTCTGTCACTGGGCCTCTACTGGAATCAGCAGAGTGAGCTCTTTGATGGGGCGTAGGAACGCTTTTCCTCTCACCGTCCTAAGTAACACCTTGCTTACTTTCCCATGTGCGCTCTTGATGGCCTCCGTAACTCGACCCATGGGCCAGTCATTGCGATTCTGGCCGTCCTCCTTCATGAGGACGACGTCTCCTCGGGCCAGGTCTCTTCAGGCGTGGTGCCACATACTTCTTGGCTGGAGGTTCTGGAGGTAATCTCTAGAACTGATCTGCCAGGTACTGGACCCTCCATGCAGCGTCGGTTAGGGTATAGGTCCGGGGATAGGAAGTTGCTCTTGGGTGGTCCCGGTGGGCGTATTTTCATCGTAAGTAGCGTGGCTGGTGACAGGGGCTGCGGATCGTTGATGTCTGAAGGCAAAGTTGCAATGGGTCGTGCATTTACGATAGCGGTGACTTCCGCCATGAAAGTGCTCAAGATTTCATGCATTAGCTGTCTTGGTCCGAGCTCGGCTAGCATGGCATCCAGAACACGGCGGATGGTCCCGATCTGTCTTTCCCATACGCCTCCGAAGCGGGATGTGCGTGGCGGGTTAAACTTCCACTCACAACCGTGTTGTGTCACGAATCTCTCGATCATTGTTTCATCCATTTCTTTCAGTGCTTCGGCTAACTCGATGTGTCCGCCGACGAGATTTGTCCCTGTGTCGCACCTCAATACGGCTGTTGGGCCGCGTATGGCGAAGAAGCGCCTCAGTGCGCAAATGAACGAGCCGGCATCCATTGACTCTTGTACATCTATATGAATGGCTCTGCCGTTCAAGCACGTGAAGACAAGACCCCAACGCTTCGACTGTGCAGTGCCACCTCTTGTCTTCCTTGTGGATACGGTTTAGGGACCAAAAACGTCGAAGTCGACGTTCGTGAATGGTAGACCAACCTCGGTTCTGTCTTGGGGCAGGTCAGCCATTTTCTGGATTACGTGCGGGCCTCTCAGCTTCTTGCAGGGCACACAAGAAGCTAACTCCTTCGTTACCATGCGGTGTCCTCCAATCAGCCAATTGTCGGCTTGCCGAATTTTGCCACTTGTGATTTGTCGACCCTGGTGGTGGACCTCTTTGTGGTAATGTCGAATTACCAGGACGGACTCAGGGTGGTCTTTTGGTAAGATTTCCGGATACTTCTCTCCATACTCCAATTCTGCTCTCCTAAGTCGTCCTCCCACCCGCACAATTCCATTGGCGTCGATATTTGGGTCAAGCGCGTAAAGCTGGGAGCCTTTCAGAGCTCTCATCCTCGCCGTGTTCTGATATTTTCCCCCTTCTTTCTGCCCCGTGAGATCTTTGTTCGTTAACTCCGCGCCAAAGGCTCCTTTCCGCACTGCCCGGATTATCGCGTCCACTGCCTGATTCAGCTCGTCTGCTGCAGAGCTCCTGAAAATTTGTCTGGCTTTCGGTGGTCTTTGTTCCTTCCTTTGATGCTTGAACTCTTTAACTTTGACAATGAGGCGTGCGATCGCGCGTTTTAAGGAATGCAGGTTGGAGAAACGTGAAAATCTTTCGCTCCTATACTTCTGCGTTTTTGTATGCATGACGCGTGGGTATCACTTCTCTTCGAACTTCGGGCTTATCCTCCACTAGTTGAATATCCTCTTGTCAAGGCTGTGGTGGGACTGGGTTTCTGAGAAATTTCGGTCCCTTCAACCAGGCTGAGTCGGCCAGACTACTCGCATTGAGGCAACGTGTGGCCAGGTCCGCGGGATTCTCACTTGTCTCAATCTACCTCCACTGATCGGATGAGGAGACCCTACGGATAATCTTTACTCGGTTGGCGACGTAGACATAGAATCTTCGGTTCTCGTTTTGGATGTAGCCAAGAGCTGCCTTCGAGTCGGTGTAGAAACTAATGTCATCTATTTGCATGTCTATTTCTTTCAGTGTTCTAGCGACGGCTTGTGTGGTTAATACGGCTCCACAGAGCTCCAGACGTGGGGTGCTTGTACTTTGTAGGGGAGCAACCTTTGATTGGCCAAACACAAGGGGCGTGGCTACCTCTCAACTATCGTTGACTAAGCATAAGTAGACGCAGGCTCCTATGGCATCTTTACTAGCATCGGAAAATGCGTGTAGTTCTGCCTGAGCGACTCTACTTCGCTAACATGGCCTGTGTATTCGTCACTAGGGTAATAGCTTGTTGTGGTGTTGCTGTCGAAGCTAAGCCATCGTCGACATAGAAATTTCTACACACAAACTTCTTTGCTTCCTCTCCAAACTCCTCCTCGCCATCAGCCGCTGTCTTTCTGAGGCCAAAGGTCACTACTGCGGGACTTGGGCCGTTACTGAAGAGATGGACGTTCATACGGTACTCCATAACTCGCTTGGAGATATCGCTGTCTTCGAACCAGAGGAAGCGTAGAAAATCTCTGTGTTTTGGGGTGACGTGGAAAGAGTGTGAAATTTGTTCGATATCACACATAATAGCTGTATTCTCCTTCCCGAAGCGCATTTAGACGCTGACAAGATTATCCATTAGGTCGGGGCCGGGTGGTAGGGTCTTATTTATTGCATAAATAGCGCTCTCTACTGCGAGGATCGTGCATCATACGTATTTAATACCGCAGTTCAAAATAGATGAACTTCATATATACATTGTACCAGTACCATTTTGTTACTTCTAACTATCTAGCAAGGGGTTTGCCTCCAACTAGCTCAGTAGAAAGTTAAAGATCCTACAGCTGTGAACACTTAACCACGACATTCTGACTAAACTTTCTCTTCCTCAACACTTTGCAAAAACTTATTAGAGTGCTACATCATTAAGCGGTTCATCTGAACAGAAGCTGTTCATAAACTATTTGTGGTGAATGTTTGATTTTCAGAAAAGCGCATCTTCCCCATTAAGGTCGTTGAGGTCGTTCTCCACGAATATAACTTGTCATGGATTTGAGATAAAGCCTTTTAGAATTTTTAATTTACAAAGAGATAACAATAACTTTTCAAAATGGTGAATGGGAGAGGGGTCACATTGCTTATATCTACGGCTCGAAGCTGGCGAATACTGGAACGTATTCGTTATTATTTGAGATTTTTCAATACCTGTGTAAATCAAATCTAAAAAAGGCTCTGTTGTCGATGTTTTTTATCTTCTTGGTTGGCTTTACACCCATCCTCTCAAAAGACCAGTCATTATTATAATGGTGGGGCAGCGAATTTTGGTAGGATCGCATGGTTTTCAAGAGGAATATACAGAATGGTGGGCGGGGGACAGTCATCGCCGACAGAGTATAAAGGAGGAATATAGAAAATTGACTGACTCATAACTGCCAATCGGGAGGGGGGGAGGGGAGATCAGGTTAATTTAAAGTCACAAAACCCAATTCCTACGACCCCTCCCAGGTGAGGAATCATGGCCGGTCCCTTATTGCTAATTTCTGTTTCATAAAAATATATTTAAACAACCTCTTAATCCCGTTTTCCTCCAAAATCGGTGTAATTCTTAGTTTTCACCTGACGTCATAAAAATTAAAAATAAGGAATTATCAATCCTTGTGAGATTTCAGTTTAGTTAGTTCATAGAACAGTTGAAGACTTATCTTTTCACGAATTTTCAGTTTGATCGGGGTTTTCTTCTTGTGATAAAGTAAGTTTAAGTTTCTAAGCTATTGCATGACACAATGTTAAATGCTGTCACGTAGGTTAAAAAAAAGTGACTTATCTGCTGAGATTTCGCTGAACAGTCTTTGTATGAGAATAAGTACTCATATGGGTTGCTAGACCCAGTATGGGCGCTTCAATTTTATCAAATTTCCTATGAAGCTATAAAAAATTTTTTTTCATTGCCTATAGAACACAGTTTATTTTTAATCATTTTATTTGAGACGCTATTGCCACGGATATGTTTCGCATAGAGAAAGTATCACAACATTAATTGATCGGGAACTAAGACATTTGTCATCAGTTTTATTTATCCTCGCAATGTTTTCCGATCACAATACAAACTATTTGCTGTTTTGAAATCCAAATACTGCGACCTAGACAGAAAATGTATCCACGTATTTACCTCCAGTTAACCGCCGATGTGATGCGGTCTCGGCTTGCAATTGGCAATCAGTTTACATCGTATCTAGCTTAATTTTGTACTTATAAAAAAATCAGAAAAATTCTACGAACATTACACTTGAATGACAAAGAATAGTGAAGATTAACGATTAGTTAAAAAGTTCACTTAATGCTCTTTTCTGAACAAACGTCTGGAAGTTAAAGACATACAGTATCTACTTAATTACCATACTTTCGTAAATTCTACACGCCTTGAGACAAGTCTGTTAACTTCTATTGAATTTACAAACTGATGGTAGACCAAGGTGCAGTAACTGTGATTGGTCGACGAAGTGTCCTTTAAGCAGTGGACGTACATTTCAAGATGGTAAAGAGACTGTTTGGACTTTCTTGTTGTTTCAAATAGGAAGCCAACTGTAATCGTCATCTGTAACACTCGATAACGTTTTCAAAAGAGACGAAGAAGCCTCTACCTGGTGTACTAAGGGTTGATAAAACAAACAAAAAAGATCCTTGGTAACTTTTAAAGAAACCAGCCCAAAAATATTGATGTGCATGAGGAAATAGAGACGTTACAGAATTAATTATTTCCTTATCAGTACATCATACGCCATCGATGTCAAATAGCGTATATGTTGTAGTTCAATTTTATACTTGGTTCAAATTTTATTTTCCTTTGTTCACGGTCATGTTAATGTATGATAATGAGTTTGAAACAAACGAAAATAAAATTTGAACCGAGGATAAAATTGAACTACAACATATACATCAAATAAGAATTTCACGGTCACAAAAATTATGTTAAGTGAGAGACAACGTTACCCACCAAGTAAAGTATCTTTTTCCTCCAAATGTTCCGCTGTTTACAAGGTACCACGTTGGTAACTCTGAATAAAGAAAAAGAAGTATTTTCGTATAGAAAACACAATTTAGCAAAGACGGATCTACAGAATAACAAAATCAATATAAAAGACGAGCCTGATTTACTACTAATTAAAAAACAAGCTGACAGATTTTAACCTAATTTCAGGTGTAGTTTTACAGGCTGTGATTGTAGGGAGTAGCTTTTCAGACAAAAATTAGTCAACATGAAAGAACAAGGTTTGGACATTGGGTTGAGCTATCTCGTTACTAAACTTTTTAGAGTACCCTCGTTTTATCATGACCTTTAGAATAAATTTAAGTGATGCTTATCAATGTTTGAGCTATACTCCAGGACAGTTCCCTAGACACTGTGTAAAGATTTTTCGTCTGAAGGAAAGATACTTGATTTACATACAGTAGTCGAATGTTAAGTCTTTTAAAAGTTTTAAGTTCAGAAACTATTCACTTTCATCATGAGCCATGTACTCACAAGTTATCTAAATTACTGCACTCGAATAATCATAATACCTTGATTTGGATCTAACTCTACGCCAAGACCATATCCAATTCGGTTAGGAATAGGTCCGACGTACTTGACTGTTCCTAGAAATCTCCCGGTAAACCAAGGCTCCTTAAACAAAATCCTCACACCTACTTCAATATCATTAATTGATTCAGGCTCAAAGCCCTCTTTCATAGTATCACCTATAACGACAGCAGAGAAACTATTTTAATCAAGAATAAGAAAAGCAATAGATAATTAAAACGACCATCGTACTTGAATAGATCACGGTCATCAATTAGACTTCACTGATGTTTTTAGGTCATCAAAGGCCGACACTAGTTTAACTCGGAGTTACCTCTGTGTAACATTAGCTTATAAGTAAATTTACACACCAGGTGCCCCCCCCCCCGCGCGCGCACACACACACACCTGCACGCACACACGCACACACACACACAGAGTAATAAAGTATGTTTAAACTATGATTATTGGTGAGACTTTCAATTTTTCTGCATATAAAACACACGTAACCCAAACTTTCTCTATTTGCTCTCACGAAGGGCTACCAGTCGATACGTCAGCTTTTGAGAGTCTTTACGGTGGCTAATTTACATTATCAACTCAGGTGATAACACCAAGTTATCTCATTATACCCCTCATTCACAGTTTTTTAGAAACTTACCCTCTTCAACCTTGACATTAGTTGCCCCTTTCTCTCAATTTTATTCGACTGATCTTTAACTTCATTCTGAGTGACCTCAAGGCTGCAAAGAGCTAAGTTCAAGTGACTTTCCATGGCTGTTTCCAAGTGAGATTTAGTCCCTGTTCTTTGAAACTGAAGAAAGACGATGACTTCATTAAACTCTTATAACAATCCTAGCATTTAAATTTTCCCTTATTAGTTTCGATGTTTGTTCCAGCAATACACAGTTTAATTGAACTGGGACATTGGTTGTTGGGAGTTTTTTAAACCCAGCAATGAACAAAATAAATATGCGTTATTAACCAAGCGTGAGGTCAACATGGCTGGATGTTGGCCGAGTTCTTTTTTTCCATTTTTATGGACCGAGACGAAATCCATAAAAATGCGAAAAAGGAACGAGGCTAATATCCAGCCATTTTGACCGAACAAGTTTGGTTAATAAAGGATTTATTATATTGCACAAATATTTCGCTTTATCAAAAATTAAGAATAACTTGTTTAACTCGAGAGCCGGGAAAGAAAGCCAACTGTGTTTGTAACACAACAAACTCACGAGTGTCGTTTCTGTTTTCTTTGTTTTGCCTATCTTCTGTCGCTTTTTGCGTTTCCATCACCGAGATTATTGTCTAAGAGTTACGAACGTAGGTCTAATTCTATTTTTTTTTTCATGTGCAAGATCAATACGGGAAATCCCAAGCGGGCAAGATGGGCTCATCTTGCCCGTTCGGGTAGCCAATCAGAGCACAGGATTCGCTTCATCTTGCCCACGGGCGCAGCGTGCGATGTAATAATAGGCGTTATTGACCAACCGTAAAGTCAAGATGGCTGGATATTGGCCGAGTTCTTCAATGGCGTTTTTATGGACCGAGACGAATTTTAGGTTCATAATACGCTTAAAAAAAGAAAAAAAAACCCGAGGCTAATATCCAGCCATCTAGACCGAACAAGCTGGGTCAGTAAAGGATCTATTACATAGAAAAAATTTCGCTTTAATAAGAATCAAGAATGCGTTGTTCATTTCAAAAACCGGGAAAGGCAGCCAACTGTGTTGGTAGCACAATAAACCCGAGGGTCATTTATGTTTTTGTTTTGACTGTCTTCTGCTGCTTTTTGCGATTTCATCGCTGAAATTATATAAAAGTCACGAACTTTGTAAGCCTGCTCCATGCACATTTTTTTTCTTATGCACTATGAAAGCGGGCAATCCCAAACCATTATAAACCTTGAACGTCCTCAGGTACTTCGAAAAACTACGCCTCACTTGGATTCTTCATGTTGACAATAACAAACCATCGATCTAGGTGTGCTTGTGCAATCAGGGCCGGGCTGTGTTCAGGGCCGGACGGCTTTTTCCGGAATGGCTCAAATCAACCCGTCCGCCCCTACACACGTCAGCTCTCACTACGGCTTTCTATGGGATTTTATATATATATATATATATATAGGAAGTCTGCAAGTCGATTTTCGCGTGGAACAGTGCTCAATACGTTGAAGCAGAGCAGAATAAATATTATGAGAGGAAAAAAGGACGTAACTACATTTCCCGACAAGCCTGTTTCGTAACTGCAGACAGTACTGTTTCGGCCTTCTGGGCCTCATCAGTGCAGTTTTTTTTTGTTTTTCAGGCGCCCCCGGCCACGGACCCATTAGTGCAATGGTCAGTGCTGCAACGGCCGGACGACATATATACTTAACGGAACCGGAGTGCAATGGTTCCGCCGAGTAACGCCTGAAGGAGGGTACAGCAGTCCTTGCACACCCCGACTGTTCAGGTGCCCCGTTAGGCGGGGAGCGCTTCCGGGGGGCCAGGTTCGATTCCTGGGCGATTTTGGCGTACTAGTTTGGGTAACGAGTCCCATAATGCAGAGAACTACATGCTATGAGACCCTAACCCGCGTCAGGTAAGTATTGCTAGGATGGAGGAGAACCAATATGGTCACCCCAAACGATCCAACCTTTGTGGTATCGTCTAAGCCATGCCAGAGTGCTCAAACTAGAGTACAGCTTGCATTGCGATCGTCAGACGGTTTTTATTATCGATGGAAAACATATCGTGCTATAAAGCCAATTTATAAATAGAAGTTATAGTTAAAATAATAGGAAGCAATTTAGAAGACAAAGGGCTGTTGTTATTGGTTTCGCAAGTAGAACTTGTTTTCATGGCGGCACTTAGAAATGAGTTCTGATCGTTTGTTTAATGAAGTGGAATTGTCCGCGGTGATTATGAGGAATTTTTCGGCAAGGCAGAGATTGCATGTTCTTGAATTTCCTTTGTAAGATGCAGCTTTGTGGATTATCAACCAATGAATGGAGTTGGAAGTGTTGGTGCTCTTGAGTTCCCAAATGTATTTGGATAGCTCGGTGCTGTTAGCGACAACCAGAAAATCCTGAACCCCCCCTCGACCAGCCAAGACCGCAAGTCTATTCGTTAAATTAGTTACTAAATCAGCTATTTTACACAAGGGTTCCGATAGTGGTATTAGTTACTTGACACAGTGCTGGAGCTCCCCATGAAATTCTTAAAGTCAGATAAACAGAGACGAAAGCGGTCACAGAAAATTCTCCTCTTGATAACATTGAGGATATAAAGGATTATACCCTCATGACTTTCATTTCCATTGCGAAAAGGAGCATTATTACGAAACTTCCAAATGCCATACAAGATCGTTTTGATCAGAAAACGGGCCAGTCGCGCATTTTTTGGGCTGACTGGAGCCAACTGAAAAAGAAAACAGAAGCACAAGACGGGAAGAAATTATCAAGAAGGGAGGAGATCACAGGAGAAAAATAAGACCACACTATTTTAGCACGGGAACAATTAAGAAAACAGTGATCAATTGTTTGTTTTCGAGAACAGTAGGCAAATTTATCAGAATCAATATAGCTCCAATGTTTTAGGGAATCGCGGACTTTAATGGCCCGAAGGACAATCTACCATAGCACATCATTCTTATAGTTTTCAGAAAAGTGATCTCGAACCAATTTCCAAAGATTGTCAAGTTTGAAATCTATAGGGAGAAAGGGGGACCAAAAACGATGAAGAATTGGGGAAGCAGAATTCTCTCTTAGCAGGGCCTTATAGCATTTCTTAGAGGTGAAATGAAAGTCTTGCCAAGAGTGGTAAGCGGCGAAAAACATTTCTCGAAATATGGTGTGGAATCATGCGAACTTTTAGCGGAATTGTCACGAAGAGGATGCCACTCCGGCCGAAAAAAAGCAAGCCTAAACCCTAGTAAGTATTTAGTAGTTAGGTAAAAGGACTTTGATTCGGGGTTAGAAAGATTAGAAACTAGAGAAACTAACTTTAAGGAGTTACCTTTGATTTGGAAATTGAAAATTCCGAGGCCACCTTTGTTAAAAGGCTGGTGGCAAGTCATTCTACTTACTGTCTCAATGCGAGAGCCCCCAATAAAAGGCCAAATTAGAAAATTTACTTTAGAAATCACCCATTGAGGGACACACAGGAAGGAAGACAAGTAGAGAAGTTTGCTAATTCCTAGGACATTGACCATAAGGGATTTGCAGACGAGTGAAAGGGAACGAGATTTGCAGAGATTAAGATGTTTTTCCAACTTCTCAAGTTTTGGTTGCCAATTATCCTCTTAAGTATCCTTGCCGAAAGCAACGCCTAAGATTTTCATTTTGGTTAGCCACCTGAGGCCATATGGTTGGTCATTCCATGTACGCCATGCGCCCAACCACATGGCTTCCGTTTTGGCAAGATTTAGGCGCGCTCCAGAACCGCGTTCATAAGTACTAATGGTATCCAAGAGAGATGCCAACGAACTAGTGAACTTAACAATACAGGTCGTATCATCAGCATATATCCCAACTTTATATCTTATTCCGCGTGCACCTGGTAAGAGAAAGCCTTCTATGGCGGGATTGTTCCGGACTTTGCAGGCAAGAGTTTCAACACATAAAATATACAATAAGGGGGATAAGGAATCCCCCTGTCTCACACCGCGAGGCAAAGGTATCGCCTCAGTTAACCATTCATTAACAATGATTTGCATGTTCGCACCATTATATAGTATGCTAACCCAGTGGCAGAAAGATGAACCAAAACCAAAACGGTTTAAGAGATTCAATAAAAAGGTGCGATTAACTCGATCGAAGGCTTTCTCTTGATCGAGGCTGATCGAGGCTGAGTAGAATGCCAGTTTCATTAGTTCGCTCAATATAGTCTAAGATATCTCGCAATAGGTGTAAGTTTGACGTAATTTTCCGACCGGGCACAGAGCAGGTTTGATCAGGATCAACGATATACTGTAAAACTTTAGAGAGACGGAGAGAAAGAGACTTAGAACATATCTTACAATCGACATTTAGTAAAGAGACTGGTCTCCAATTTTTAAGATCTTTGCGATCCCCTTTCTTGAAAATTACTCGAGTATTACTAGTTTTCATAGACTCGCACATCTCTCCAGCTTGGGAGCATGCATTAAAAACTTGGCACAGATATGGACCCAAACGGTCCCAGAACTTCGAGTATAATTCGACCGAAAGGCCATCAGGGCCGGGAGCTTTGTTTGTGTTCATTTTATTCAGAGCGACAGCAATTTCCTCGAGCGTCAAGTCACCTTCACAAGAGGATGCCTTATCGGACGTGAGTTGACGAGACAAAGAAGATAAAAGATCGGTTTGCATTGCGGCATCTACCGGCCCTTCAGAAAAGAG